TTTGTCGTAACATACAAACGACTAGACAATGTTTCATAATTTAGTCATGTTCGCGTGGGTGGGTTGGCAGCAGAATTGATATGTACATGATAGTGACACGAGGAGGGGGGGGGGGGCGGGGTGTACACAAATCACACAAATCAGAGCTTTGTAATACACGCATATACTTGATATACTAAATACACAAATGGCTGAATTTCGAGACATTTCTGGCACTCTTTTATCACATAATGAGAACACTGCATTAATTTCTATATATCAATAAAATATGCCTCAGACCCATTGTTTATTTTTAAATTTGAATTAGACTCGTAACAAAATATATTTTCTGGCAACAAATAGCATATAAATAAAACTAGATTTACTTTCTGATTATTTTTTTTAAATGAAATCATTCCAGGGCTTTTATTGACATTTCAGAAAATGTAGAGTTGGTCCCATGCACTTGAGGCCAAGGTCCTTGAAGTTGTACAGCTGCACCCGGTGACCGATATTTATTTAACGGGGAATAAGTGATAATTCATATTATAACAGTAAATAATTAAAATATCCCATAGGGATTATAATAATATGTATATCATGTAGGTGTGCATGTAGGTTAAAATTGTGACCTCTGTAAATAGGCCCGTTCCTTGCATTTAGTTTTAGAGTTAGGAGTGCTAAAATTGAGAGAGCGAAATGGGGTTGATCGACCACTCGACACAAACTAGGTCATTTCGGGACTAACGTATGGTTCAATTTTATTTCAATAATTCGCTTGCGCGTAGGGGTCTAGCAGTGGGGGGAAACCGGGTGATCCTGAAAAAATACACAGGTTGGACGGGCGACCTACTCCTTGTCACGTACGGAAAGATACCCCAGCAGTCAAAATAGGTCAAAATAGGCGATTTCGGTTTCTAGTGTCGATGCATCGTTACGGTCAGTTTAAAAAATTGTCTTTTAAGGATAATGTGTATAGTACCAATACCTATCACATACGGAAGAGGCGATAAAATCTCTTTGCATTTCCAATTTCAAAATTAATTAAAACCAATATTAAATTCCGAAAACCGTTTTTTTGCTAAAACTCTTTTCTTTTTAATGTGATCAAAATGGGGGTAAAGCACAGAGTCAGGGGTGGTAATGGGCGTATTGTGTCCTAATTTCATGGTTTTCGGACAATCGGTGCCGGTGTCACGGCGAAATTCCACTTTTTTCCCCTCATGGAAGCCGTAAATTGACGCAAGGAGTAGGGTCGCCTGTCCAACCTTGTGGGTTTTCGCCGGGTCCTCCGGTTTCCTCCCACTGCTAAAGACCCCTACGCGCAAGCGAATTATTGAAATAAAATTAAACCATATGTTGGTCCCGAAATGACCTAGTTTGTGTCGAGTGGACGTTAAACCCCATTTCTCTCTCTCTCTCTCTCTCTCCGTAAATTGACTTGAGGCCAGTGTCCTTTAAGTTGTACAGCGGCACCAGGTGACCGATATTTATTTAACGGGGAATAAGTGATAATTCATATTATAGCAGTAAATAATTAAAATATTTCATAGGGATTATAATAATATATCATGTCTGGGTATTACAGGGTTAAAACAATATTAAATTCCGAAAATCGTTTTTTTGCTAAAACTCTTTTTTTTTAATGGGATCAAAATGGGGGTAAAGCACAGAGTCCGGGGTGGTAATGGGCGTATTGTGTCCAAATTTCATGGTTTTCGGACAATCGGTGCCGGTGTCACGGCGAAATTCCACTTTTTTCCCCTCCTGGAAGCCGTAAATTGACTTAGAAAAAAAAACGACGAAAGGCAGGTGACAAGAACAAACGACTTGAACGAATGCAGGTATCACCTTGAAATTTTCAGGGTGCCTAGGTACCAACGTGAAAAGTTGTTCGCCGGAATTTAGTACTCATGGTACCGTTGGTTCCTGTGTAGCGCATGCGCGAAATCAAAACCAGCTAAACTCGAAAACAACCTTGTCGGCACGGAAAACATCAAAGGAGAAATTCGAATTTTTGAAATATTCAAATACCAAACATTCGACCATGATCCAGGCTATCCTCAAATGTATTAATTTCGGTAATAGGAGACAGATTCTCTAAGCCACGACCAATTGTGTATGTTTTCAAGCCCATAAATGTGGATTTTTCACTAATTTTCATTTTCATTTCAAAATGGCGTCCATCAGTTGACCTAAATCAAAATTCTAAACCGATAGATTTTTAGGCTTTCCTTCAAGCATTCAGAAAATGTAACTCTTATGTCTTTAAGTAAAATATTGCAAAAGCCGTATGGACTTTTCACATTTTGAGATGGTGGCACTTCCGGTTTGCTCGACAAACTCCATATTTTGTGTACTCATCAGTACTGTCTTAGCTAGTACAGAAAAAAAATTTCAAGGCAATCTGACCTATATTTCGTCGATTTTTTTGAAAACTTTGATCCTTAATTTCACCAAGGGGAGATAATTTAGAAAATTTCCAAGGACATCATTGAAGTCGCATTGGCAAGGTCTACTAACATTCTAAATTTCACGAAAATCGCACAACTATTAAAGAAGTTGTCAAATTGGTAATAACTTCCGGTTCGAAATGACAGCGACGAATTTTCGAAATGCCGAAATCCGAAATTGCAGATTTGAAGTAAATGTTTCAAGATACTCAAAGAAAAAAAATTAGTAAAATAGGTCAAATAGTCACAGAGTTACAGCATTGTAGGTCAAATGCATTCCTTCGTAAAATTCGGTGATTTCGGATTCGTAAAACGTTTTGAAAATATATTTAATCAACAGCCACCACCCATTTTTGGGGGGATAGGTAAAAGTTTCAGAACGATCCTATGGTTAGATTCTGAGAAATCCGATTTGTGGACAAAACACAAAAAAAAAATAACAATAATAATCTTAACAGAAACAATAAGCTTTCATATGTAATATGAAAGCTTAATAATCTTAACAGAAACAATAAGCTTTCATATGTAATATGAAAGCTTAATAATGACTTTATTTAAGAAGGCTTGAAGATTAGGCTATAATAACCTTTCTAACATCCTGCCCTTCGTAGAAAATATAATACAAAAGATATAGCTAACAAATTAAACAACACGCCACAATAATTTACAATAAAGAAAAAAAAATATATACAAATCAGTTAAGAGGTTTATTTAAGTACATGTATATGCGGGTCCTATAACAGAAAGTTTTAATACATATAGATATAACATGTATTAACAAATATACAATATGTACATGCTTATAATATGGAAATACACAGAACACATATCATAAGAGATAAGCTTATAGGTTTCTAAAATAAGATATTTGAAGTAGATTTAAGGTAAAGAAGAAGTGTTTTCCTGAAAAGATTCAAGTTATTTAAAGTTTTTAAAGAGGCTGTGAACGAATTCCAGAGTTTGGGACCTTTAAAGCGTATACTGCTTTAAACTATATTAATATTAAATCTTGCAACCATATTACCCAAATAACAAATATAATTTTCACAACTTTAAGTTTAGTATCAACGACAATACGAATTGTGACACAAAAAATCTCATATATGTCTTGACTTGTAATGGTTGTCAAAATTTCTACATCGGGGAGACGGGCACACATTGAAAATGGACCCTTATTTGTAATAGACAAAACCTACAAGTAAAATTCCAAATGTTCGCTTTTTATAAAATGAAAACTGATGACACCACGAAAAGGAAGTTAATGGAAAATCATTTTATTAAAAAATACGTTCCTCTACTTAATAGTCAATAAGTAACAAATGGTTATTAACTTTATTAATTTTCTTAAATCTATCCCAGGATTATCTTCCACTCATTGTTCCTAGATCGTAACAATATACAACAGATTAACACACGTGTGTACATGTTTTCTATTAGTTACAGAGATATCATGTCACCACAGACAATGGTAGCTAAAGTCAGTTAAAACCACAGTGTTACTATGTAAATATGTATAAATATACTCTACTGCCCATCTTTATACAATGACAATATTTATGAATAGTCCCAAAACGGACGAAAAGTACTTTAAAATGTTATTAAACCACTGTTGAAATCAGTTTGTGTCGGCACACATTTTATCTTTTCATCGTTTACCGTGAAACAAAGTAGTGCAGCTTTTCGGTTGTGCTAATATTTATGTGTGTGTGTGTATTACAGTAAATCTGTCAAATCAGCCATTTGGTCAAATGCCCAATGTGGTCAGGCATTTGGCCAGATGACTGAATTTTCTAGATATTTTACCAAAATGTGTCAGGCTATGTGTTAAAACGAACATGACATAGGCAGTATTCATAAGTTAACACATAAACATAATCCATATACAGGTAATGTGAAGGGTACAAAGTTACTTATTGCAGCAGTTCAGGCTGGAATGACACCCACCGTTTCACTTGAGATTGTCCTTGCAACACTTGTATCTCTTTGTCTTGTATTCAGAGGTTCCTGAACAGTTGACTTGACCGCGTAAAGTAAGGTCTTTGGACAATATTGATATTGTTTGTTACCATTGCCTCGACAATATTTTGTTGTATGAGAGACACTACAGACTTTCCTAATTATTATGACAGTTGGCTTGCACTGGGAGGTAGAATGAAGGGACTATTGTGTGGTTCTCCAAATGGTATATTTTTCAACCACCACAAGAAAAAATATATCCTCACAAAATGACATTGTCTATGTTTCGAATAACACATAGATTAACGTAATATAAATACTAAAGTTAGTCCCGCTTCTCCATTTTTAATTAAATCATTAAATGACCGAAACGTTTTAATCTACTTAAAATCGGAGCCATCGGATGGCCTAGATATTCATACTCCCAGGCCTACATCAATCAACCCGAAGTATCAACAGCCCCCATACACGAGACCTGTTCAGGTGTTCCGGAAAATGTAGGCATTGATGTCGACTAACAATATGGCTAAAGAAAACGGGGAAAGGTTGAGATATTCCGCACAAAAACACATTAAAATTCACTTGAATAAACTCTGTATAATAACCACCTACCTTTCGCTTGCTTCAAGTGTCAACACACCTCTTATGGGTTATATAAATAATATAAATCATCGAGATGGTGGAATTTTATCACAGTAGGTCCAAAGGACATTTCTTTATCAGTTAGTTATGCATACCCGAGCACCAAAGATAACAAATATTTAAACATGCACTGCTTTATCAAATAGATAACTAAAAAAGAAGACTAAAAATATAAAACATTTTGGGATGTAAAGGAGTTGATGCATACCCGAGCACCAAAGATAACAAATATTTAAACATGCACTGCTTTATCAAATAGATAACTAAAAAGGAAGACTAAAAATATAAAACATTTTGGGATGTAAAGGAGTTGATGCATACCCGAGCACCAAAGATAACAAATATTTAAACATGCACTGCTTTATCAAATAGATAACTAAAAAGAAAGACTAAAAATATAAAACATTTTGGGATGTAAAGGAGTTGAAAATTTCTCGATGTTATTTATGGCGTGTCTGGGTAACGTCGATGAACAAATATTTGCATAGTTATTTGGATTTTATGAATCATAAAGATAGTGTTGATAGTCTGTTTTGTTTTGTTTTTATAACACACTTTTGGAATTCGAAGAACAGTATACGATGCTGTTGGGTCTTTTTCTTTTATGTAAATAAATGTTACCAAGGGAAATCAACAATAACCATTGTAATTCTTGTAAAATAGTAAGATTTAATTTTCCTTTCACATAACCACAAAATTAATCATATAAAAAAAGGGTAGAGGTAACAACCCTGAAAATACAAAAAAGGCAAATATTAATAAATTTGTTACATTACGTTGATAAAGAGAGATATGGGGGGCCAACGCCCGCTCAACATAATCTAGGCCATTCCGGGACACGCACAAACCCACTTCACTAATCCACCTGCACATAGGGGATCTTAGCAATGGTAGGAACCAGGGGGTCCTGATAGAACCCACAAGGTTAGGCAGGCGACCCCAATCCTGTCACATACAATTGCGGGATGTAAAACATGCCAGCTGAGTCAGGCCACATAATCCAACAACGTGAAGGATAGCTTGACAAACATTAATTGCTGTAGACGCCCCATGGCCTTGTATAGTAGGCTACTTGAAAACCATGTGACATTTACAGGTACATAAAGCCAATGACTATTAAGGAATTCAATTAAATATTCAGAATTACACTCAAAAAGTAACTATATGACATGCACACCGATAAACTGTCTATTTAAGCCTGTAGGCCACCCGTTCCAAACACATGGCTAAGTATGAAACGGGTGTCACAGAAGAGTTGTCTCCCCTTAATATCTTTGTTTCAGCACACCTAGTCCATATAATCAAACTTTTTTTTCAAATATCCTCCATTTTTTTCAAGGGACTACTACAAACTGTTTGTATAGTGTAGGCCCTAAAATTATAAACATCATTTGGAGTAAATACTTCGGGTCTATATGGAAAATATTAAATTTCCTTGAAACGGCTTTTGTTTTCAGCTATTTTTATAATGAATACACATTTTTAACATTTTTATGACTTCTTAATTCACCCTCGAAACTTTGTTCCTGGAAGCTTAAAGATACACTGACAATTAAACATTGCATGTATTTAGTAAGTTTTACAGTAAATATTTATTCACACTCAACACAGTGTTTAATAATCTATGTTAAATTGTACACCAATAGTCCACTATGGAATGTGGACATGTCCAGTTGAATAATTGATTGGAAAAGATGATGTGTTGCAGATGGTACTCCATAGAAAAGAATTTGCCTCACAAATTCTATATTAAACCCTCATAATGCTTATTGTTCTAACATAAATGACTAATAATCTATCAAAAATTTAGAAACCAGCCTTAGTAGTATGGGAGGTACTTTCTAGGTAGTGCGCCAGTTTCGTCCTGCGGCACGTTGAGGTATGCGGCACTTCAGGCGATTTACAAATGATCATGTGACAACTACGTAATTTGAATGACTGATAGCGGTCATCGGTTGTACCTGTTTATATGAATATGAGTTCGCGAAATGTTTTATTTGTACCGCGTATGGGCCCCCGTCGCCACGCCCCCACGTCTTTTTTGTCGTCGCAGTGACCCAAAAACCAACACATGTTCTAAAAGCCCATCCAGTCAATTGTATAGTTAATTGTATTAATTTGTTCATTTACTTTTGTTATTTCTATAATTAAGTTAATTATCTATAATTAAGTTAATTATCTATAATTAAGTTAATTATCTATAATTAAGTTAATTATCTATAATTAAGTTAACTTAATTATCTATAATTACTTTTTTTCATGAATTTTTTTTTCATGAATTATTCATAATTCAATTATTTTTTCATTCATGAATTTTTATATCAATTAATTTTTTTTTTCATTAATTAATTTTTTTCATTAATTTTTTTCTCTTTCATTAAATTTTTCTTATTCAAAAACTTTTTGTATTTGTTTTTTTACAATTTTATTTTGATCTATTTTAATTTGGTGAAATTATTTACCGATCTGGTGGCAGATTTCAATTTGAGTTTTTGAATTTCATTATGTATTTAACAGATGTTTTAACAGATGCTTTGGGGGGTCTTAGGTGAACTTTTGACTGATATACTAAAAAATATTATGCCAATAACCTCTGTATCCTTTCTATGCCAGTTTTTAATTTGAGTTTTTAGTTTTTGCGACCAACATTGGGTTTTATATACGACAAGTGAAATGAGGTTTAACGTCCATACTGGCTAATAAGGACTAGATTGATATACACGCTTATTATCTGGACTAAAGAAAATATCTACACTTTTAGCTGTTTAGAGTCGTGTGCGACAGAATAGAGTGCGGTTGTTATATTTTGGAACTTGAATATTCTCAGATTTAACCAATCAAAATGTAAAAATAGAGCGGGAGGAAGAGAGATGTCAATAACCTTCGAGGGTAGATCATACTTTAACAGATAGGATTTTGTTTTGTTTTGTTTTTTTGCGGAGTGGCTAAAATAAAAAAAAACGTAGATCATTAAGGTATTAGAAATGTTTTTAAAAAGTAAAAAGATGACTAGATAATTGTAGTCATTATCGTATCAATTAATCTGTTAATTAACATATTAATTGTTTTGATTAATTAAAGTTAGTTAAACCCCAACTTACTTCACTAAGAATTTTGGATTTTTATGCTAGCATTTGAAATATATTTACGAAAAATAAAAATGGTTAGTTCTCTTAAAACAAGGTTAACATTACATTATGTATTTAACAGATGTTTTAACAGATGTTTTTACCGATATACAAAAACTACCATGGATCTATTTAAATACGTCAATAGCATCTGTATCCCTTCTATCCTTATAGATTTTTCATTCATTATTTTTTTTTCATATTTGAATTATGAAAATAGTATGACATGTTTCCACCACCGAAATATGTTCTTTATATAAATGGGTTTTATTTTCGTAACACAGTATTTTAGATATGGTTTATATATACTATTCAAAAAAAGTAGGGGATATTTGATTTTGGGGGCATAATACTAAAATATGCAAATGACTACGAAAAAAGTCACTATAGAACCTAACAGAAGAAACATTTCCAGTTACATGTGACGCCCAAACGCACCAATAGCTACCGCATGGAATGCAGGTGATGCTTGGGATCATCATGGGGGTCCAACCCAAGATTTGCACGACTCTGACTTTGAATGTTACAGTCATTGTGGCATTGAATTCCAGGGTGGAAACATCAGTTTAATTGTTTTAGTGACCAGAAAACAAATTTTGATATGCGTCGGCTTACCCAAAATGAAAGGTTACGTGCCCTTGGCATGCTACAGATCGGCACAACACGGGCGGTTGTGGCGCGGACGATGAATGTTTCTCAGTCTGTCATAAGCAGGCTATGGTCCAGATACCGTGATACACAATCTGTACAGGACAGACCACGCTCAGGTCGACCAAGGGCGACAACTCAAGCCCAGGATCGATTTATCCGTACCTTGGCCTTGAGAAATCGTGTCATCACAGCAAATCAGATCAGCGCTCGTCTTCAAACAGACACTGGTGTGAGAGTGAGTGGCCAGACGATTCGGAATCGACTGCATAGGGGTCACCTTCGCGCCCGACGTCCTCGCGTGATCCCTTGTTTGAGAGATCATCACATTCAGGCAAGACGTCGTTGGTGTAGGGATCGTCAACACTGGGATAATCGACGCTGGAGCAATGTGATGTTTTCAGATGAGTCAAGGTTCGCTGTTGATTTTTTGGACAGACGTAGGAGGGTGTGGCGTCGTCGAAACGAGCGCTTCAAAGACGTTAACGTCATCAGACATGATCGATTTGGGGGTGGTTCTGTTATGGTGTGGGGAGGCATCACTGTTGCTGGAAGAACGGCTTTACATGTTGTTGCAGGGCGTGTTACAGGCCAGTACTACCGGGACAACATCTTGGCAGTCCATGTTGTGCCGTTCGCACGACGTCATGGCCGCCGTTTCATCTTCCAGGATGACAACGCAAGATGTCACAGGGCCAGGATCGTTACAGGTTACCTCCAACAACAGAACATCACCACATTACCTTGGCCAGCACTGAGTCCCGACTTCTCCCCCATCGAGCATGTCTGGGACATGCTTGGACAGAGGTTACGTCAACGTCAACAACGTCCTGCCAATGTCCAAGAACTTGCTGCTGCGTTGCAACAGGAATGGGACAATCTGGACCAAAATATGACCTTAGACGTCTCATTAGGAGTATGCCACGTCGGATCAATGCTTGTTTGGCAAACAGAGGAGGATTTACCCGTTACTGGCTTGGTTGTGATGCTGTGGTAACTTTGCTGTTTGACCCCGGGTATCATTTTACCCTTATAATGGTCAGTCTGTGCCTTACTTAGTCTAACGATCATTTGGAATAAATCGATGAATGTGAACTTCATTTCATTTTGTCATTTGTTTCTTCGTCAGTTTCATTAGGTGACTTTAATAACACTTAAAAATCAAATATCCCCTACTTTTTTTGAATAGTATATTATAGCGGTGGTCACTGTTATCTTGTATGGAGTTATGACATGTTATAGCTATCAAATTGCAGCACACATGTTTATAACCATTCCATGTAATTTAATATCTTTGAGAACTAAAGAAAATGTCTTC